GAGTGAGTCAAAAATAACATTCAGACAGCTCAACAAAAGAGAAAAGCTATCTTGCTTTAGATTTTCACTGAGGCTGACTCTTTGGAGCTTTATTGACTCTGTTTTGCAGCCCAAACAACTGAGCCTGGGAGCCACTCAAACTTCTACTCTGCAGTAATCAGCTACTGGTGAAAACTGCTTAGTTTTGGTTTTAGAACAACTGTTTTCCTGCTGTATTTCACACTGTGGACTTCTCTCTCTCAGAAAATGTGATTTTTACAGGCACACCCCCATGATTAGCCTCTGGAGGAAGTTGAGATTCTCCCCCTCCGTTTGAGTTGCTAAGATCACAGGGGTGGAAGAGGTGGGGCAAAAGCATGAGGAGACCTGCCTGGCTTTCAAGTGCACCTGAGGGAGTGGTTGGGTGCTGTGGTTTCTCTCAGAGAGCATGGAACAGGGGTTGCACTCAGATTGGAAATAACTAAAGTGATAAAATAAATATTGGATTGAAAACAGTGAGGAAAGCACTAAGAATGTGAAGTAAATTAGCAAGAAAAACCACTTCTGGCTTTACGAGCCAGACCAGCACTATGTTATCAGTCTGATGCTGCCTGCAAAGGTCTGGAACCCAAAACATAGCCAGAGAAATTGCAATTCTGTTCTACTAGACATAGATTTTACAAGAGAATTACAATTACAAATTTTAGCTGACTAATACATATAACTTTCTTTAAATTTAAGTTGAGATTTAATTGGTGTGCCCAAAATATTTCTTGTGCACTGCAAATTCTAGAATTGTAATTACAGGGTTAACTTGCTCTTTTCTGTACTTTGTGGATGAAGAACTCAAATTCACTACTGTTCTATTGGCAGCCAGTCAAGTTTTAAAATGTTACAATCTGAGAACAGAAGAAAAAAATGGGACTCTGTAAATTTGTTTTTCTTTTTATTAAGTTTATTGGTACAATCTAGGTCTATAATACAGTTACATTCATCACTGGGATCCTGTACCTTCACATGACAGGTCTTGGTTCTCTTTTTTCCCCTTGTCCCTGGCCTCTCTTCACCCCCTCCTCCCCTCCCCATTAATAAACTCTTTATTTCCATTTTTTCATTTTCTCATATTTTTCTTTTCCCTTATTTTCTTTTCCCTACCCTTCCCACTTTCCCTACACCTTTAGTCATTTTCTTCCACTGTAAATTTTAATAACGAAGACAAGTTTATTTTAGAAGGTTTATTGTAAATGATTCAAGAAAATATTAAGGAAGCTAAAAGTAAAGTAAGATATACTTCTTTCTTTCTTTTTTTTTTTTTTACTGGGGATGGAACTCAGGTCCTTGTGCTTGCAAGGCAAGCACCAGAACCACTGAGCTAAATCCCTGGCCCAAGATATATTTTTGATATGAAATGAGTTTGTATATTTGTCTTAGATAGAAAGAGAGAGATACACAAGACAAGAAAGCCTAGGTATGTTGAGACAGTGGGTGGAAGTGATTTATCAAGGAAATATAAGTGTTTTCTTTTTAGTTTCAAGCTTGTTATAAAAGGCTAGCCCATATTGGCAAAAAGTTTTCATTTGTTCCAATTCTACAAGATATTTCTATTAACTGACTTGCAAAAAGGTTTGACTAGAATTATTTACCATTATGAAGCTAAAATTACAAAAGAATATTTTAGTTCATTTAAGTTAAATATATTTCAGTGCACTCTAGTTTTATAAATTGCTTTATATTTTTGTTGTTGTTTGTGCAAATCTAAATCTGTTTTGGATTTGTTCAACAATTTTTTCCCATTTTTGACCTTTAAATTTTTTAAAAACTGTAGTGGCCTTCGATTTAAATTGGCTTATTGATAAATGTTATTAAAGTTAAAGTGATGCTTTTACCCCTAGGTTGCTAAAAGGTTAAAAATATGTAATACCTACTGTTGTCTAAGTGTAATCACCCCATAACTTTAACTTGTGACAAATAGTGTACTAATTGTTACAATCTGGTTTGTAGAGGTTACTAAATAAGCTTTATCAAGGTAATTCAATGGAGACCCTTAGGTTTCAGGGAACTACTTAATGAGACTCCTCTTGGAGAAAAAAATGTTGCTGCTTGTAAATGTTTTCCATCCTTTGCTCTCTAGGGGAACCTCAACAGTCTCTGTACTTTTCTGACAAACTGACCCAAAAGGTTTTATAGCCTTAAAAGACATTTACATTAGTGAATATTGCTTAAATGTGCTACTGTCATAATTTTACATTGGTTGTCAACAAAGGGTTAAATTCCAAATATGCTATTGTGATATATTTACATTGGTCATCCCCAAAAGATGAAATTTTCTTGAAAAAAAACCAAGGTTTTACTGAAAAGATATTTTAGGTACCAAACTAATTTAAAGGGGATGAGGTTTCATACATGTAACTATGATTTTTATTCTTAAGTTTTTGGTATAGTAAATGTATTGACGCTTTCTGACTGCACAGGTTTTCTACTGTGTTGTTTATGGTAATAACCTTTTCATTCAGATATTTCCATTTATCTTACACTCCAGCTACGTATGATAAAAGGTTCTTTTATACACTGATGTATGTTTTAGATGGCATCCTATCAAAAGATAATTATTTGAGTAACATTTTGTTTGTATTTATGGAGGAGGATGAGTGCATTTAACAGTGGCTCTTTTATATTAAGACGTATATTTAAGTGTATTACAAAGATAATGCCATGATTGTCATGCTAAAATATTATGTGTGACTCTCGATTTAAAACTTTTTTCTATCAACATGTTACAGGGATTCAAATACTAGAACAACCATGATTGATAAAAAAACAACAGACTTCTGACTATATTTTATAGTTCAAACTGCTTAATATCCAGGTAAAATTATAGTCATTAAATTCACTATTTCTATTACTGTGCTAGTGCTATTTATCTTCTCATCTGGGTGATCAACAATTAAAGTTTAGAGACCAGAACTAGAAAAGTGACTGGGCTAAGAAGACAGACAATATTTTGGCTCTGACCCTTCAAGGTGTCAAAGAACCCAGGATGTGAGCGAACCTTTGCTACAAGAACCTACAACTTACGTAAGCCACCCAAACTCCTGAGCAGGGAGATTGTTGGACACAAAAAGATAAGAATCAGTAGTGTACTAAAGACTTTCACTTGTAGGGAAAAATGTTCCATATTTTCACAATAAATAACATGTTCAAGCAAGGCCATAACACATCCTCATGGCTGACAGTGACAGGAGCTGAAAAGCTCTACACACATTTCAAATTAACACCTGTGGAGACTTAGTTGACCTTTACAGATAGGAACAGGCCAATTTTAATTAATATAGGCCTCACTTTAACTTGCTCTTGAACACCCAGTAGAAAAGTATAATCCAGAGATATATGATGTCAAGACAGTACTAATAAAAACTGCATATAAGAAGGGGCTCCACATCCCTGGTCATTCGAGAGATGCAGATGAAAACAACACTGAGATTCCACCTCATTTAACAAAGAATGGCTGCTATCAAGAAGTCAAACAGTACCAAATGTTGGCAGTGCTGTGGGGAGAAAGGAGCCTGTTTCCATTGTTGGGAGGAGTACAGACTGATGCAACCACTATGGAAATCAATATGGAGATATCTCAAAGAGGTGGGACTAGATGTTCCATTTGACCCAACTATCCCTCTGCTGGATATCTTTCCAAAAGAATTAAAAGAGTCTTATCACAGTTCTGGGGATTTAACTCAGCGGTTCTGTGGCCTGCCTTGCAAGCACAAGGACCTGAGTTCAATCCCTGGTACAAAAAAAAAATCATATCACAGTGACATATTCACACCTATGTTTATAGCAGCACAGTTTGTAATAGCTAAAACTTGGAAAGAGCCCATTTGACCATCAGTTGGAGACTGGATAAAGAAGATGTGGTTTTTCTATAAAATGGAATACTACTCAGCCATAAAGAATGAGAAATTAGAGTCATTCATAGGAAAATTGATACATATTAAGGTTATACTCTTGATTGAAATAAATGTCACACCTGTGTAAATACCAAATAGTTTCTCTGGTGTGAAAAATCTATAATAGTACACAAGATCCAAATGAGATAATTAACAATGAGAAATAGGAAGAAAAGGGCTAAAGGTGTAGGGAAAATCAGAAGAATAGTGAAAAGGAAAAAAGCAAAAAGAGAAAAATTTGAGAAAATGAAAAAAATGGAAATAAAGTATTTGTAAACAGGGAAGGGAGGAGGAGGTGAAGGGAGGGCAGGGGTATGGGGGAAAATTGAGAACCAAGACTTGTCATGGAAAGGTACAAGATCCCAATGATGAATGTAACTGTGCTGTATACCTAAAATGTACCAATAAACTCAATGAGAAAAAAAAAGTAGGGGCTCCAAATGCTGTCCCCCACTGGCAGTTACCAACTACATTAGTAACTAACCCCTATCACGTGCAATAAAAGTCTGTGGTAAAATTTATACACCTCAAAAAGGGTTTTGTATTTTGAAGTTAAATTTTAAAATTTTCAGTCTTTCCAGTTAATTTTTTTAAAAAATTAATGAATTACCAGACTTATGGATAATTAGAAGATTCCATTAATTAGAAGATCTAAAAGTCGGCATGTTGTAATCACTATTTTAGTCCTTTAAAAACTGTCTCTCAAATGGATCTTTACATTACCTACTTTTTTATTTTAGTACTTGTGCTTTGATTATGATGTTCTAATTTCTTTAAAAAACTGTTTATTCTTGCCGATGGGCTGCCAAACTCCAAATGATCATATAAATAAAACCAAGATATGTGCTAGATTTTTTTGGCCAAAATTCACCAGATGGATTTTATATAGCTTATAATTGCTAAATTACAACATAACTTTTGTTTAAGGCTTATTAAATTATCTCCTGAAGAGAGCAGTAAAGTAACTTACCAAGATTGTAGTAAAGAGAGTTCTTGCATACATATAAGGACACTGTATAGCTGTCTTTAACCTGACAAAATATATATAACAAAACACACAGATATGGGAGGAGGGTGTTAGGGAGTATAAGGAAGGGACATATGCTTTTTGTGTTCTTCAAGCTGGGGACGTATGTCATCCTTATAAGGTCCAGCAAGATGAGTATGGGATGATGTAAAAGCCATGCTTGTTATAGGAGGAAACGTTAATGACTGTTTTGCTGTAGGTTTTTGAAACAGTTCATTTTGAAGCAGAGCACACGTCTGATATAAAGCAAAATGGAGTAGCCAAAAGGAGGGCAAATCAGTCCATCCCTTATTGCTCAGCCCTCCACGGTACTGGGAACCAATAATGGCTGAATCAGTCCAGTATCTGTCTCAGCACATAAAATACATCCTGATTTTCTAGTATCTCCTACCCTTTTGTCTGTCATTTAATAAAATTTGATAATATGTACAGTCCACCGAGATAATCGAGGAAATCTCCTCTTAAATCCCCTCTTCACACCCAAGTAAGATTGGGCCATATATCATTTAAGATATTCATCTACTATTGGGACCGGATCACAAGATATTATGAGGCCTACTTTCAGTCCACTACAGAGATGATGTCTGATGAATCCATAGAAAAGTTATACATTGAGGCACCAAGGGACGTGTCTGGAGCATATTGTCTCTGGTACCATGTCCAGCCAGGTATAACACCAGCACTCAGTTAAATCATTGACGAGATGAGTACAATAAACGATGAGAACACCTCACAGAAAATTGAATGAAGCCCAGCTCTGTGTTATAGTAAATCCCTTACCTGTGAAGTCCTTGTGATAGAACTTGTCTTTATTGCTCGATTTTATCAATGTTGGGTTTCTTTTTCTTAAGAGAATTGAAAGCATCTTTACTAATCGATTTCAAATGTCACAATTATTTCAAAACACTGATATGATACAATAATGCAAATTTTATAAGTTCAAATCATAAATATGGTGAATACTATTGTTGGCATGAAGATCACATTTATGAGTAACAGCTCTCAGCAACATCTTCACAGGCTATCAATATTAAAAGTAGGGCTCATTCTAGAATGAAATTCATGTAGTCCTAACCATACATACAGCCTGGTGGAAATCATTATCTATATATAAACACGGATTTGTTTAAATACTGTTCCTAACATGTCCACCTTGTCAACTGCCCTTCTTCTGATACTGAACATAGAAAACTTGCCAAAATTAGGAGCCACTTCAAGTTCTGCCTCTGAGAAACTTGAGCAAAGAAACTGTGTTTAGAATATAAAATCATGTGTTGCACTTCACTATTAGACTTTTAAAAATTTAGGATGTAAGGCAAGTTGAAAGCACCTGATTGTTTGTGCCATTATCTCATTAGAAAAGTGTGTTGAGAGAAGTTCTCAGCATCCTGGCTCACCTGTAAGCCAATCATTTTCTACTTTCTCTGGAAATTTACATCCAAAACATCATGACAGCCCATCACATAACACAGGTTAACTTACTGATGAGTTTGCTCAAAGAGATTGTTAATGTCCCTATTCCTGAAACTATAGGCAAATTGTTCCATATCTGAGTGACAGAATATATCACGGGAGCCACTTTAGACTTCTTACATGATTTTGTTAGTGCAGAGCTGATGTATAGTCCAAAAGTCACTCCCATAGAACAAAGAGGCAACTGACAGATGACACACACACTTGGAAAACGCTTTGTACTCCCCTCCAAAAGATGGCATTCTCAAGACAGAGGACATAATGTGAATATAAGAGAAAATGATTCCAGAAAGAGGAGCACTAGCAAGTAGGCCAGTCACCAAATGTACTAACAGGTTGTTGAGGAGGGCATCAGAACAGGTGAGCTTGTTGATCTGAGTAAGTTCAGACAAATGCAGAATCTCTGGGCCTGTGCAGAAGAACAGCCACAGTGCAATCGGAGTGCAGAGCAGGGCATGCAGCATGGTAATGAGCAGGAAGGGCAGAATCAAGACACACAGAGGCAGGGTCTCGTGATGACCATGTGCCTGAAAGGGTGACAAATGACCACCTAGCAGTCCTAGGCCATCATTGCCAGGAGGCAATTTTCTAAATCAAGAAAAATCATTGCTAAGAGAGTCACCTTGTGTAAGTGATGCTGTGATTATGTGTTTGGGTGTTCTCCAGGATCTTTGGGATCCTGGCAGTACTTAAACAGATGTCATTAAGGAACAATTTGGAGAGGAAGAAGTTCATGGGAGTGTGGATTTGGGAGTCAGAACTGACAGCAAAGATGATGAGCAAATTTCCAAGGATGGTAACCAGGTACATGAACAGGAACGCCGAACCTGTCAAGCATCCCAAGAGCTCCCTTGAGGGCAGGTGCAGTCAGAAAGTGGGTCACCCCACTGCCTGGGTTAATTATCTCCCACTTCTATTTTTCTCTGGGACTGTGATGCCAGAGGTCACTGACCTCCCCAGGACTGATCTGCTGTCCCTATTCCACTACCAAACATCGACACCTGAGCTGGAGTAAGGGGCCCTGGGGAGACAATGTGGAGGGTGGAGTGAGTTTGGGGGAGAGGAGTAGAGACTGTCAGTGTTTCCTTGCTGCCTGTTGTATTCCAGTGTCTGATCATTTGGCAAGGGTGTAATTTAATAAACATGGACTAACAATTTCCCTGTGTCCTGGATGCAAGGTTCCTATCTGGACAAAATTCTTCTGAGATTCCAGCCTGCCGCAAAAAAAGAGAGAAGTGGCTGCAGCTCTGGATCACCTGCAGTCCCAGGAGAAGGAATTCTGAGACATCTGCTTGGTTTTTAGCATTCAGATTTTTGAAAACCCTGATGGAAAACGATGGGGTGAAAGGAATAAAATTATGGACAGCAGCATTTGCCACCATCACTTGAGACCAAGATCTCCCATCAGAACAACTTGATCTTTGTATTCCAAATTGAGAAACAGAAAAATAAATTTCTGTTGTAAGGCCACATAGTCTCTGGTTGTTGATAATGACATTTCAACTGACACACTCACAAACTGCTCCCCAAGATTTTTACAAGAGGTGAAATAAATTTCATAATGTCTTGTATTACCCATTATGTTTAAGAAGGAGCAGATTTCTACTCTGAAAGAAATGGGATCTGGCCTTTGACAGTGTACATGCCCAGCAGAATAAGATTTGGGTGTTTATTAGTGCAGAGTTCAGGAGACTTGATGAAGAAACAGTGATGGGAGGGACTTCTTTCCCACCATTTCTCTGTTTTTTTTTTAACTCTCTTCATTTCTCAGGACTGAATGCTAGTAACACATTTATATACATGTCCAAAGCATTAGCTAAGATAATTTCCACTTTCTTCTTTTAAAATCTTTTAAAAATATTTCCATGTTTTCATTTGTTTATTCATGTAGTTATGCCATATTAACTCTTCCTATATGAATTTAGGATTTTCAGTAAGGATTTTTGAAATTCATGGGAAGATTGCTTAGGAAGGTCTTTCATAAAAAAATTTATCCCCACTCATTTTTAAAAAGAGGAATATTGACAAAATACAGAAATTTACCTACTAAATTATCAAACAAATTCAAATTTTCCATCAATCACAAGACCAGTAACAAAAAGAGAATAAAATTACAGTAGGTCTTGAAAATATTCGAATAAATTTCATGGTGAGTGGATGAAGCCAAGGGACATTGTGGACTTATCTCATCTCATGAAGAGAAAAGTACTTCCTTTTTTAAGATAATGAGGAAAATATCCTAGGAGTTGCAAAGGAGAAATATAGAGCATGTTACTTATGCACTTGTTTGTTTTTTTTAAATAATTTATATTTGTGAGGAACAAAATAATGTTTTCATTTTGTATACTTGGAGTAGTGATGAAGTTGCAGTGATTAGCATATCCACCATTGAGACTTTTACATTTTCTCCTGGTGAGTACATAAAGTTTTCTTTCCCTAACAGCATTGAGATGTACGAGGCACTTCTGTAATTATATTCACCCTTCTGGGCCATAAAAAACCAGAAATGACTACTCCACTCACAAAATAACACACTTCCTGTAGATGGGTTATTCCTTCGGGCCACTCCTTCCTATTCTAAACCATCCTCGGCAATCACTATTCTCTCCACTTCTGTGAAATAACCTTTGTTAGGTTATTTTTGTGAGATTATGCTTTTTATCTTTCTATACCTGATGTATTTTACCTAATGTAATACCCCTCAAGTTCATCCACACTGTCAGCAATGACAAAGAAGATTTCATGTGCTTTATGTTTGAATAATATTCCATTCTTTGTATAGAACACATTTTATTTATTCATTCATTTGTTCTGCATATTTAGGTTGATTGCATGTATGGGCTATTGTGGATAGTGCCACAATAAACATAGGAAGACAGGAGTTTTTTGCCATGCAGTCTTTCATGCTTTACATCATACAAATTTTCACTGGGGTAATATGATAATTTTTTCCTTATTGAGTTTATTGGTACATTTTAGGTATACATTACAGTTACATTCATTATTGGCATGTTGTACCTTTACATGACAGGTCTTGGTTCTCATTTTTCCCCTTTTCCCTGCACTCCCGTCACCCCCTTCTCCTCTCCCCACTTACAAACACTTTATTTCCATTTTTTAATTTTCTCATATTTTTTCTTTTCCCTTCCTACCTTTCCCCTACCCTTCCCACTTCCCCTACACCTTTAGCCCTTTTCTTCCTATTTCATATTGTCAATTATCTCATTGGGATCTTATGTACTATTATAGTTTATTCACACCAGAGAAACTATTTACACATGTGTGACATTTATTTCACTTAGTGTGGTCTTTTTTCTTTTTCTTTTTTTTTTTTTTTACTTATTCTAGTGCTGGGAGTCAACTCTAGGTCCTCCACATATGCTACACAAATGCCCGATCACTGAGCTAAGTCGCCAGCAATCTCTTTTTTTTCTTTACTTTAAAAAGTATCTCAATGTATTGGTTACTTTGATCTTGAACTCATGCATTTAAGCAATCCGCATGCCTCAGCATCCAAAAACACTTTGCCTATAGAAATTTACCACTATGACCAGATCATCATTGTGGGTTTGATTTGCATGTAAAGATATTAAAGGGCCACGTATTTAGCTCAGTTGTCCTGCTACCTGGATTGCGTGCACAAGGACCCAAGTCTGATCCCTGGCAATAAATAAATACATTAATTAATTAATTATTTAATATAAAATAAAAAGAGCAATCTGGAGAGCATTTTGGGCCAAAGTTTTATCTTAGTGCTTCCACCACCTGCCTCACAAGCACAAGGTCCTGGGTTTAATCCCTGGTTAAAAAAAGAAAGAAAGAAAGAAAGAAAGAAAGAAAGAAAGAAAGAAAGAAAGAAAGAAAGAATGAAAGAAAGGAAAGAGAAGATTGAGCAATTTGAATATATCGATTGCGCACCTTTCTCTTCTTTTGAGAAATGTCTATTCATATCCTTACCCATTTACATTTTCTTTTTTACTATTCAGTTGTTGGTATTTTTATATATGCTGGGTATTAACCCCTTGTCAGTTGTGGGGTTTGCAGTTATGTTCTCTCATTCTGTGTTTCATCTCTCTGCCATGTTGTTTCCTTTGCTAGTAGGACAGGTTTATTTTGGCTCACAGACTTAAAATGATTCAGTCCAGAGTTACCCAGATCCACAGCAAGAAGGATATGGTGGAGGGGTCTAATAGAGGGCAGCTGCTCATATAGTGGTGGCCAAGAAGCAGGGAGTAAATGAGGAATTGGGAAGGGTGATGTGACCTTCCAGGTCAAAACTCCAGGGAACAGCATCTTCCATCCAGATCCAGGTTTCTATCAGCATACTCAGTCCTGATATCTTGAGTGGAGTAATACAATATTGAATACAGCACTCCCATTGTCCAATCAACCTCCAATAGGCCACCCTTTAAATGCAGGAACTTTGTATCAAACCCTAATAAAGAGATATAAGATATCACTGGTAGAATTTAAACCCAAGTAGTCTGATTTCACTATTGCCATCCTTTACCATTTGATCTCTGCTCAGGTATAGTCAAAGACACTGGTAAATCTTACAAATCATTCATTACCTTTTTTCTCTTTGACTTATTCCAGGAGTATAAGCATCTGACATATGAATGGAAAGATGATATCCTAAAGATGAGTTTCTCTAAAGCCCTCAGCATTTCCTTATTCCTGAGGCTGTAGATAAAGGGGTTCATCATGGGGGTCACTACAGTGTACATCACTGAGATAATTGCACTCATCCTGGGGGACTGAGCACCTGTGGAACTGAGGTACACCCCAAAGCTTGTGCCATAGAACAAAGAAAGTCCTATTAGGTGTGACCCACAAATGGAGAAAGCTTTATACTTTCCACCAGCTGATGGGATTCTCAGAACAGAAGAGACAATTTGAGTGTAAGAGAAAATTATCCCAGAGAGAGGAACAACACCCAGCAGTCCTGTCACCAAATACTCCATCATGCTATTGATGAGGATATCAGAACAGGCAATCTTGAGAAGTTGATCCAATTCACAGAAAAAGTGGGAAATCTCCAGGTTTGTGCAGAATGACAGCTGCAGTGCCATGGAGGTGTGGAGCAAGGCATCAAGGACACTGATGATGAAGGAAAGCAGAACCAGCAGCCAGCAAACTTTTGGGTTCATGATGACATTGTACCTCAAAGGGTGACAGATGGCCACAAAGCGGTCATAGGCCATCACAGTTAGCAGCATGGCATCCATACATCCAAAGATGATAAAAAGAGACATTTGCATCAAGCAGCTCACATAGGAGATGACCCTGCTGTGAGTTGAGATGTCCACAATCATCTTTGGGACTGTGGTGGTGATGAAGCAGATGTCAGCCAGGGACAGGTTAGAGAGGAAGAAGTACATGGGGGTGTGGAGGTGGGAGTCAGAGATGACAGCCAGGATGATGAGCAGGTTCCCGAGCACTGTGACCAGATACATGGACAGGAACAGTCCCAAGAGGATGGGAATACATGGACAGGAACAGTCCAAAGTGGATGGGCTGTAGATGTGGATCATCTGACAATCCCAGGAGAACAAATTTGGCAGTATCTGAAATATTTTCTGGTTTCATGTCATTGGTAAATCTGGTAGAACAATGATAATAAAATGAACTATACGGAAACCACCTGAAGTTTATGTGTTTTAATATCAAAACAGGTAAGTTTTTCCCACGATTATCTTTCTTCTCTTTCTTTCCTTTCTTTGTTTTTCCTTGAGCATTTATTTTCCCACCCATTTTACCCATTCCAAGTTCTTCTATATTTATTTTTGAAAAATTTTAGTTAACCTTTGAGAATTATACATTTTTAGGAAGTACATTATTACATTGTTAATGATCAAATCAGTGTAATTAGCAATCAACAACTTATATATTTATAATTTATTTCTGGCAAATGCATTTAAAAATTTATCTTTTACCTATTGTGTATCTATTATGTATTTCTATGTATTTTGAAATACACAATGCATTGTGCCTAACTATAGTCCCTGGGGTTTATTTTCTATTTGTAGTTTTAGAAATACGTTTATGGAGAATATAATAGGAATGAAACATTGTTGCGTTTACCAATTTTTGAGTCATTTTATCAACTAATAAAAATTCATAAAGTACTTATGTTACCACATGCCTTCCAGGATCAAGTCCATCACCTGTTGTCCCCATTGCTGTGGGCTTGTGTGGTGCATCACAGCAGGAGAGCAGAATAGTGCAGTATGTGTAGGTCTCACCTTATAGAAAGAAAGGTACAGAGAAAGGCAGGAAGAAACAAGGTTCCCAAATTCCCGCCCCAGAGTGGTCCCACCTCTCAAAAACTCCACCACTTTCCAATAGCCCTAAGTTGGAGACCAATACTGTAGTACTTAGGCCATTCTGGACATGCCAGAGCCGACATAGATGATAGATAGATAGATAGATAGATAGATAGATAGATAGATAGATAGATAGATAGAGATAGATATCTATCTATATCTATAGATAGATAGATATAGATAGATAGATAGATAGATAGATAGATAGAGATATATAGATATCTATATATATAAAAATATATATATTACTCTGCCTTTAAGATGGCTTAGGCAAATTATTATAGAAAAAAAGTTGTAAGGAATTTAATTTGAGAAAACAGTACTGGACCCAAATCCTGCCTATTTTATGGTTTTGTGACTAAAGGTTTATTGGTGCACAGCCATTCCTTCGCATGTTTGCAGACATAGCTCAGGGATATTGATAGAGTACGTTAGACAGGAGGCAGATGTGGGGAAATGGCAGGAAGAGCATAGAAGAAAATTCTATGAAAGGGCATGGTCTAGATTTCCTGAGTTTCTAGTCTGAAGGCTTCCTGAAATGACCACATCAAACCCACTTTGTGCATTCCCTCTCCTGGTTGGTCTTACACTTTTCATGTCTACACAGTAAATTAGAGGCACAGATCACGATTTAACCTATGGTCACGCTCTTGGCCCAATTTGACTTTATGGGTATACATTTATATTTTAGTTTTAACTCCCTATATGAGCATTAGCCGCTGTACTGGCTGTAGCTAAATCCTCAGGAGTTTTAAAACCTGTTGTCCTGATGTAAAGATGGAGACTCACAGTTTGGCGAAAGAAGATCTGTTAATTATCATTCCTGACCGCTTCTGCAAAATCTAGAAAATCAAAAGGAAAAGCAGACCTCAACTCACTGTAGTTGCCATCTCTGATGCTAAGCCCACCGCCCTGCCCTTCTGGAGGGTATAATTTCATTGCTGAAAGTTTCCCTCTCTAGATCTGACCACTTACAACTCTCCCAAGTGTACATCCTTATTCATAAATTATCATTGTTTGGTGGGAACTAAGTTTGTCTTTCAGCAAACAAACTTGCTAAACACCACTATTTTCTGACTGCAAATCTCTTTCTGTGCACCTCCTCACATATATTCTTAGGAAGAACCTAAGAGACAAAATTTCCAAAAAACACAATGCAGAACCCAAACCATGATGACACTTCCCTCTGGGTATCATTGGACCACATGCCTGGTATGTGCAAAGTCCTGAGTACAAATAATAATAATAATAATAATAATAATTATTATTTAATAAGTGGTATACAATTTTATATGTCAATCTAAAATTCACAATATAATTAACCAATTTGTTTTTAGTATTACTCAAAGACAAGTATCTTTTTATCAAGAAACTGGGAATTTAAAGGCATTTGAGATATTTCACTTCATTAAAGTTTATTTTGTCAAGTTAATCTCTCTTTTGTGGTTAATGCTATCCCCACCCATTACAGTTCTTTCTTCCAGAACATGTGAGCCAATTTATAGGGCCAAGAATTCACACCCTGATGAGGATTGACAAGGGAGCCATCTGCATGCTTCTAGTATTTGATGAGTATTTCATGTAGTACTGGAAGATTAAGATATTAAAATCAGACGAGAAAGAGGATTTCTAGATTAGATAAGAATTTGCTAAATGGCAATAATATAATATTGATCCCTGGAGAAGGGTCCAAATTATGAACAATTTCCTTGACTTGAGTTCAGTTCTGTTTATTTATTTATTTATTTATGGTTTTTTGAGACAGGGTCTCATTATGTAGTTGGGACTGAACTGGAACTCACTATGTAGCCCAGGCTGGTCTCAAACTCACAGCAATCCTCCTGTCTCTGCCTCCCAAGTGCTGGGATTACAGATGTGAGCCACCAGGTCCGGCTTCTGTTTATCTTATAATGGATAAAAAACAGAATTTTAAAATGATTTAATGTTCAGTTCCTATAAATCTAAGATTCCTCTTAAAAGAAAATTCTTTGAAGATGTAATGTATGCAAAATTTTCCATAACTGGATCTGATTACCATGAAGAGTGAAGACTTTGTTTTTGAAAACTCTG